ATTGATCTCCAAACATTTATTTGGTAGGAAAAAGTATTTATTACTTGACCCCATGTGATTTGAATATTGAAGAGAATACAAATTTCTTGGGGAAAAAGTCATTATATAATGACATCATTATCTGCTCCTTCCTTTTAATGTTACTTGTATTGTGCAGATTATCTTCAAAATTGAGTTCTACAACTTCAGAGTATGACCACTCCTCTCCACTTTCCTTACAACCCACACCGTCCTCCAGCCATGTCTTGTTGGTTTTGCAGCAGAGCAAACCTTTTCAAAGACAATACTTACACCAGCTTTACATATCCATCTCTTTACCATCATTATCACTTCCTTTCTCTTTCTGCATGGGCACACTCACCAGTTGTTTCACTTGCTCCTCCTCTCCTTGTCACTGGCATAAAAACGTAACTTCTAGCCCCTTTCAGGTCAAAAAGTCACATTTGGTTAGATCAAACATTATTTCTGGTTCTGTCTCCACAGATGCTGCTAGACCTGCTGAGTTTTGCCAGCAATTTATGCTTTTATTTCAGATTGTCTTTACAATTATTCACTCTAAGAGCAGCAGCTGTATGTCAGTATTTGAGACACGTCTCAGTTATAAAACTATTGTGAAAAGGTTTTCTTGAATGTGAGACATGTAGCAATTGTAACACATTCTTAGATTAGTGAAGAACAACAAGTTAAGTAGCATTGAGTCATTATTCCAGATGAGATGCAGATTCAAACTCTGAACAGATTAACGCTGGAAATGTTTTTACTTACACATCCAAGACCTCATTCCCACTTGTGTTTTTCTAGGCCCATTTTTTTTCAGTCAAGAATTTCAAAGCATTTGATGTAATGGAATCTTGTTCATTATGATCTAGAAGCTATGGTAATCTGTCTTGCATGAGTCTAAAGATTAACTTGCTATAATCGGTTTATTGAATTAAATGTAGTTTCGTACAATGCTACACAATCTGCAAGTAAGTAGATGTTGCACATGACTGAAGATCTTTTCATGCTAAAGCAACTGACATCTATTTATAATTAAATGAAAATATAGAGTCATACAGTCATTTACAGCTCAGGAGATGTACGAAGTGCGAAAGAATTTGGGGAAAATGTGGAATGTAATCTTGGAAATCTCATTTTTTACTATTCTTGGAATAAGCAAAAAATGAATTTGGTTAGATTCAAATACAGAGGAAAACACATTCAATAATTCAAATACACATTCGGGTATCTGTTGTTTACTGGGTTTCTAGACATGCACAACAGATACACTTATTTGTCATTTAAAATTCTGCTGCCTACAGAAATATTATTACAAACAATTCAAAATAACAATTAATGCCTGAATTTGATATTAAATTGCTGTAAGCAGAACATATTTATGACAGACTTTCTATGGAGTCCTTGAACATTCTAGGAAGGCGTTCGGTAGTTACCCATTTTAAGGGATCCGTCAAAGATCTTTAATGCTTAAGTCTGATATTGTAGCTTATATCATGCTTTTCAAGCCTTACAAAGAACTTTACAGGCATCTATCATTTTGAATTGCAGTCCCTGCTGTAATATAGATATTTGTTTTTGGTGTTATCTCGGGGTAAAAAAACACTCAGCAATATTTTTGAGACCATTGTAAAGACTACTGTCTTGGAAAAGAAGTTATTATTAAATCAAAAAGGAACACTTCATCAAGAATGCAACGAATTTGAAGGAAAATACAGTAGTAGCAGATGTACCCAAAGAATTCCTGAAATTAACACACTTGGTCAGCATTAAATATTATTGGAGAAAATCCATCTTTAATTTTTCATTTATTTGCAGATAAAATGCTTTGAATAGCTGGTAATGTGAACTGAAGATAGTCAGTTTTAAATTCTAGTATTTCTAGAAATTTCTAAAATCCATTTTTTTAATATTGAAGATTTTTTTCATTTATGTTTCATATAGGTTTAACACATTTGCACCCTCTCTTCAGTTAAATTAACTTTGAATAACTTCACTATTATAATATCTCTGTAAGTATTTTGGCATATTTTTTAAAGTGCTATCTGGCCCCTGGCCAGATACAAACTTTTATTCCAACCTCACAGGAAAGGCAAAAGACTTCCACAAAAAGGCTCTTACAGCTTTAGGGGCTGCAACTGTAATAACTCATGGTCAGCAGCACCGCAAGGAGATGGAGCAATAGTTGCAGAGTAATGGCCTCTGCAAACTTGGATTTGGACACTATCAAACTTAACAGGAAAAATAGTTCTGAGGAAGGGTCACCAGACCCGAAACGTTAACTCTGTTTTTTCTTTCACAGATGCTGCCAGACCTGCTGAGCTTTTCCAGCAACTTTGTGTTTGTTCCTGATTTACAGCATCCGCAGTTCTTTCAGTTTTTATTTAGGAAAAATAGTTTGTCTGTTAGTCCTGTAGTGCAAACAGCAAATTGTCATATATGGCATTGATATTCTCGTGTTGCCCTACGGAGGGCCTCATCTGAGTCCCCTAGAGCAAAACTCATCTGCGACCTTGTCCGCTGGTGAGCCAGCATACATGACATTCCTTGGCCTGGCTGCATCATATTCATTCTTACTGACTCATCATGTGCAGATCACAATTCTACACTAGCCTCTAAGGTAAGTGCAGACCTGCGGCCAGCTCAAGTAAAGAAATATTTTTATCTGTGGTGTGCTGTTACTCTCTTTTCTTCCTGGGCTGCAATGCCTGGAAAGGTGACAATTCTTCGATGTCTTGAGTATCAGAAAATTGGAAGAAGGCCACAAGGATGAAACATACCATGGGAGACTATGAGGGGTTTGCAAAGAGTCAGCATCACCATGAAGCAGACTGGGATAATGGACCTGTGTAAGGAGGGGAACAGCAGCAAAGAGTACCACGTGGCTACATACTTTTAGCTTATCTGAACAATGTCTTTATGAGTCTGTTGCAGAATTCTCTGGTAGCCAGCTGCAGGCACTTTGGTTCCTTTGTTTTTGAAGATGTAAAGTCATCATAACCATACTTCTCTTAGGGCTCCATTCCTCTCTCCAAAGCAATGTTGCACAAGGCAGAAAATTATTCAATCTCCTTCTGTTGTATACTGAAGACAGCCCATAGAATTGACCAGGCACCTGAATTAGATCAGCAGAAACTCAATGACTGCTCTAGTGCTCATGTGCCTCCTGCGGTCCTTCCTTTGAATTGGTGGTAAGGCTCCCTACAGGTTACGTAGTCAAGCCCAGGGAGTAGACCAACACCGTTTAGAGGTGTGAAGATCTATAGGTAATGTAACTGCAACTGCAACAGCATGGAGATGAAGGGTTTAGGCCTGAAACATCAGCCTTTCTGCTCCTATGATGCTGCTTGGCCTGCTGTGTTCATCCAGCTCTACACCTTGTTTTCTCAGATCTTCCAGCATCTGCAGTTCCTAGTATCTCTGAAGAAATCAGGGCAGTTTCCACAGACATGAATGAAAACTTTTAAGTAGGCACATTCCGACTGAAAAATCAACGTAAGAGCCCCTTGCTTTGAATATCTTCATCAGTTGCAAAATCAAGTGGCAGCCTTGACAAAAACGGTATTGGCTACCTGGAAAATATAGCTCTTGGCAGCAAACTGTGAAAAGCTGCAGTTTTGCTGATTAAAAGCCTTTTCAGTTCATCAACTTAATTGATCAATGTCACACTTTTACTTTGGTGACTTTGGCAAGTTCCACAGTTTGGAAAACATGTTAAGGATCAGCTTTCTGGGATAAAGGCACAACTAATTAGCTAGGTATGCACTGGCATCCCTGGTGAAAGGCCATCATCCTGGTTTCTATTTTTCTCTCTACAGATGTGGCTAGACTTGGTGGGTGTTTTCAGCATTTTCTAATCTTATTTCAGATTTACATGGTTTTGCTTGTTGTAAATGTTGACTCAGCACCCAGTTCTCAGTAATTAGCTCTTGCCCAGGCAATCACTTCCAACTGATTGGCATCTATCTTGTTGGTATTTAACTGTCAATCAATCTAAATTCAGTTTCTTTTAGTCTCTAAAAGTTGTAAGTTAAAAAACTTATTTACTTTTAAATTTGACTCTTCACCTACTGCTTTCAAGTTGCCCCTTTTTATTTTACACTGTTTCTATCCACTGTGCTAGACCAAAACATTTTTCACTGTACCTCAGTACACATGATAACAATAAATAAAACTCAAACTTCTAATCCATACGCTGATCTCAATTCATGCCAAAAATCTTTATTTCTTTCTCCTAGCCCCTAGCTGATTCTTTATTGTATACCCAAAAATCCATGGTTATTTCCATACTATTGCTTTCATATCCTTATCTCCTCCTTTGTACTAAACCCTCCCTCCTATCTACAGCCTAATCATACATCACAGGAGGCCACTCAGTAACCTATTTCAGTAACAAAATCAGAAATTGCTGGAAAAACTCAGCAGGCCTGGCAGCATCAGTGGAAAGAAAGCAGAGTTAATGTTTTGGGTCCATTTGGACCAGCTGGAAGGTTTTGTTCTGATTTCCAGCACCCACAGTTCTTTTGTTTTGTGCCTATTTCAGTTCTTTGATTACACTATTCAATGATTTACACTGCCCTATTCTGTCCGCTATGCAAAGCCACCTTGTTGCTATTCTGTACCCCAATTCCAATACCTGTCTTTCCTTTCCTTCCAATATTGTTCTATCCCATACCCCTGAGCTAATCATAGACTTTTGTAGCTCGGGAGGCAAGGCTGTGGGTCCATTGTATCTGTTGCAGCTTCTGAAAGAGGTATCCGATTCAGTTCTGAGCAAGGGTCTCCAGACCCGAAACATTGACACTGATTTCTCTCCGCAGATGCTGCCAGACCTGCTGAGCCTTTCCAACAATTTGTGTTTTTGTTTCTCATTTACAGCATTTTCAGTTTTTTTAAAATCTAAATTTGTGCTTTTTCTCTGCTGTCAGGCCGCTATCCTTCATATAAACTCTTCCTCTTCATTCTCGCTGACCTCATTCCCCTTGAGCCACATCCTCAATCTCCTCCTACCTACACTGCTCTCAGCTCTTTCACAAATTGGTAGTTAACATAAAGATGGAGTAGGCTATTCGGTTGCAGCTTGTACTTGTAAGGCGAACTCTCCATCCAACTCAGCACGCCGCCCGTAACATCTGTTTTTTTAAAACATAATAAATAGTTCCGACGCTCAAAGGTTTCCTTTCCTGTACCAGCGTCTGGGTTCCGGGCAGCGTTTGAAGGCCCTGTACTTGGTTCCGGTCCGAGTGGCGTTAGGTTAAAACGGTTGCTTTCTTGGAGGCCGCGTGCAAGGGGCTCGTGGCCGGGGAGCGCGGGCAGAAGAAAGGCCAGGCCTGGAAAGTGGAGCTGCCGCTGTGGAGAGGAGGTGCACCAACTGTCAGCATCGCTTGGAGCAACGAGGCGACCAGGCGGGGATTAAGTGCAAAAGAAAACGCGCGCAGGTCAGATACGAGGCGACTCTGCTATCGTCTCGGTTTGAAGTGCAGTTGAACCATATCTTGATTTAACGTCTCTCCTGAAAGACTGCACCGTCGCGAGTGCAGCACTCCTTTGGCACTGCCCATGTCATCTCCGCCCAACTAACAGGCTCAAATCCCGACGTGTGCTCTGATCCTACAGTTGCCTGACTCCAGAGGAATTGTGGTGTTCTGTGAAGTAAAATCTTGCGTTTTAAGTACTTGGTGTTCGATTTACTTTGTAACCTGTTGTGAATGATTCGCTCAACAGAATCTTTGCATGTGTGTTTTTCTGTGTATGGGAGAAAAGTTACTAAGTTAAACAAGAAAGTAGAGAAAAGGCATTAACTTGAAGGTCTCACGTTTAGGTACAGCATAGAGTTACAGAATAGTATAGCAAGTTATTTGGATTATGTCAAACTTTTTGTTTGAAAGCGCTCCTTTGTTTTGTTTTGATTTATTATTGTCACGTACGTGAGTACAGTGAAAAGTTTTGTTTTGCATCCAGTACAACAGATCATAACATTCAGAGACACAGATCACTGGTCTCAATACACACAGACAGAGAAGGACCTGAATTTGACTGGGACAACACATCCATAATAGCACAAGCCAAACCAAGACATGACAGGGAATTCCTGGAGGTCTGGCATTCCAAATAGAACTCCATCAACAAACACGTTGAACTGGACCCAATATATAAACCATTGAAAAACGGAACCAGAAGTAATGCCAACCATCCCAGCAAACCAAGCCATATAAATAACAAGCAGGACAGAACACCAACGCTTCACCAGAGGCACACTGATGTTACTTAGCAAGCTGATGAAATGCCTGCAAACAAACACACCGGTTCGGTGAGCAAGTCTGCAACTTAGCCCAGCTATACCATTAGGCTGAGATAGTAGGAACTGCAGATGCTGGAGAATCTGAGATAACAAGGTTAGAGCTGGATGAACACAGCAGGCCAAGCAGCATCACAGGAGCAGGAAGGCTGACATTTGAAGGGTCTAGGCCCAAAACGTCAGCCTTCCTGCTCCTCTGATGCTG